GGGGGGGGGGGGGGAGGGGGGTTCGGAATCGATTTGTGGGCTAGGGCTGAGAATTTGATAGAATGTGTTTTTATCAAATATGTTATCAGGATGTGGGTCAATTAGCCGTCCGAAGATTTTGCCAAAACCCATGCAGAAAGAAAGAAACATGAGAAGAAAAAAACGCGAAGTTAATATAAAGGATTTAAAATGTTTGCGAAAATTAAAGTTCATGGAAAAGTGTGGTAAATTTCTTTGCAATTAATATTTCTTTACACACACACACACACACACACACACACACACACACACACATACACACAATGAAGAAGGCTGTTACAGATGTGAAAATGGGTTTAGGGATTCTTCTTTAAAAAGAAGAATTCTCTTTTTTTTAAAAATGATTTTCCGATAATTTAGTAGAGAAGCAAGGGAAAAGTTTGTTTAAATTTTGAAGATATCAATATATCAAGAGATACTTCATATGGTAGGCTTCAAGGATTTTTTTTTTTTTGTTGTAAATTTAAGAACGTGTTTTAAAACATTGTAGAAGGCAAAAAATGTAGTTCAGGAGAGCGAAAAGGTATAGCAGATAAATATTTCTCAAAACTAAATGATTTTAGAAAGGTAAACATCATTTCATACTTATTTCTTTTTTTTAAAAAAAAAGAGAAAGAAAAGAAATTCACATTAACCATTTCCTAAATAGACATTTCAAGGAAGTGGAATAGTGTTGTTGTTTTTGTGAGTCAAAACCTGAATCAGTTATATACATAATATTGGATTGTTCATTGTATTCAAAGGTCTAGAACCAGTGCGATTACATTTGCTTATACTTTACTTAGATCTAGTTGGCATTTAGGACGCAGTCATCAGCTAATAAAAGTTCTCGAATAACTGAATTTCTAATGACGTGAAGTCTCCTTTAAAATGAAATAGTCCTGGAGCTAGCGTCCTGCAGATATTATGTCAGCTGATCCCTGTTCTCAACGGAATCCCAAATGGCTTTCAGAAAGTAGTCCCTGTTCAAGGTGTATTTTTAAATCATCAAGTAGGACCCTGGTCAAGATCTTCCCAGATATGGAAAGGGGAGAAATGCCTTTTCACAGGTTTGGCAACTGCTTTTTCCTCTTGTATATGGGTATGATATTTGCAGCCTTGAACTGCTGAGGTGCAATACGATCTTTCCATATCGCCTTAACTAGGTTTGTCAGTCTTGTTCGCAAGATGGCGCCTTCTACGTTATGGATTTCGACAGGGATTACATCTGGTCCCAGGGATTTATTTGAGGAAAGCTGCTGGATTGCTCGTCCAGCTTCACTTTCATTGGGACTATTGTCTAGATCAGTGGCATGCAGCTCTTTAGCGACCTGAGTACGGCTCGGCCAGCCGGCCAAAAATCGGGTTTGACTCCGAAAAATATGATTCTTGACAGGTTCTTGAAAAGAAATTTGGCTCTCAATTTTTTTTTAAAAATCGTCCTGATGCTGATTCTCTGGCTCTTTTGAATAATGAGTTTGCTGACCACTGGTCTAGCTCTTGCTTAATCTCAACCAGTGGTAAACTAGCAATGACTTCACCTTCATTGGGACATTTGTCTAGCTCTTGGTCGATCTCCAGCTGTGGTAAACTAGCATTGAGTTCACATTCATTGGAACGATTAAATTGTCTAGCACTTGGTAGATCCCAACCAGTGGTAATCGAACAAAGGCATTGTCGTTTGTAGTGGCCGGACAGTCGAGGAACGATAGCAGGATACTTTCTGGGGGAAACTCAAGACCCACAACCAACGGGCACACTCTACAACCAACCACTTCAGTATCTTGCATATGCTGATGAAATGGCACTTCTAGGGAAAAGTATTAAAGACTTATCAAAATCCTTTATTGAATTAGAAGAAGCATCTCTACAAGCAGGGCTGGAAGTTAACAACCAAAAAACAAAATACATGACCATCATAAGAAGGAAAAAAGATGAGACCATGAAAGTTAGAAACCAAACTTTTTAAAAAGTTAATCAATTCAAATACCTAGGATCCTTGTTAAATGAAAGAAACAAATTACTAACAGAAATAAGAGAAAGAATATCAGCCGTAAACAGGGCATACTTCAGTAGTCAGAAAATACTCAAAAGTAAAAACATTACAAGAGAAACAAAGAAAACTATTTATAAAACTGTGATCAGACCAGTTGTAACATATTGCAGTAAAACTTGGACCCTCACAAAAACAGCAGAAAACCTATTAAACACATGGGAGAGCAAAGTTCTCAGGAAAATATATGGGCCAACAAAGGATGAATATGGATGGAGAATACGAACCAATCAAGAATTATACTGTCTATAGCAGGTTCCCACGATAGTGGCAGAAATAAAAATAGGCAGGCTACGCTGGGCAGGACACCTAGAGAGAATGCCAAATGACAGAGGAACGAAGAGGGTGCATCACCAATACCCCAGAGGAAAAAGGCTCAAAGGCAGACCTAGGCTTAGGTGGATAGATGATGTAGAAAAAGATCTACAGCAGCTGAAAGTCCAAGCATGGAAAAAAAAGGCATTAGTTAGGTCTGAGTGGAAGGAAGTGGTGAGGCAGGCCAAAGCCCTACATGGGCTGTAGCGCCACATGGATGGATAGATGGATGGATGGATGGACAGTTAAGGACTTGACTAAAGTGTTCAGTTCTAGAATCTGACTCAGGAGTGTCAGTAGCCGAGCTCCATCTTTGTTAAGGATGTTTAAAAGCGGCCTGTTTAAAATGTAAACACACATCACATGGTGTTTCATTCAATGCATAATTTTTAAAAAAAACTTTCACAGCAATGAGATTTTAATTTATATTTATTTAAAGAAGGTGTTAACATTCCGTTGCCTCTGCTATACGGCATACTCTGCTATATGACATACTCTGCTGTACTAGGCTATACGGCATACTCTGATATATGGCATACTCTGCTGTACTAGGCTATACGGCATATTCTACAATACGGCATACTCTGCTATATGGCATACTCTGCTGTGCTAGGCTATACGGCATACTCTGCTATATGGCATACTCTGCTGTACTAGGCTATACGGCATATTCTACTATACGGCATACTCTGCTATATGGCATACTCTGCTGTGCTAGGCTATACGGCATATTCTGCCATACGGCATACTCTGCTGTGCTAGGCTATACGGCATATTCTGCTATACGGCATACTCTGCTATATGGCATACTCTGCTGTACTAGGCTATACGGCATATTCTGCTATACGGCATACTCTGCTGTACTAGGCTATACGGCATACTCTGCTATAAGGCATACTCTGCTATATGGCATACTCTGCTGTAGTAGGCTATTCGGCATACTCTGCTATACGTCATACTCTGCTATATACGGCATACTCTGCTATATGGCATTCTCTGCTGTGCTAGGCTATACGGCATACTCTGCCATACGGCATACTCTGCTGTGCTAGGCTATACGCCATACTCTGCTATACGGCATACTCTGCTATATGGCATACTCTGCTGTACTAGGCTATACGGCATATTCTGCTATACGGCATACTCTGCTGTACTAGGCTATACGGCATACTCTGCTATACGGCATACTCTGCTATATGGCATACTCTGCTGTACTAGGCTATACGGCATACTCTGCTATACGGCATACTCTGCTGTGCTAGGCTATACGGCATATTCTGCTATACGGCATATTCTGCTATACGGCATACTCTGCTACCGGTACATGGCATAAACAAATTTTGTGGAAATGCAGATACTAATGCATAAAAAAGTTTGTCAAAGATGGTCTATTATTTGATATATTTGATCCGAATGACATCAGTGAACTGGTGTATTGACTTCGTGGCAATAATCAGGTGAATAATGGCAT